ACATTCAGTGCTCTTGCCTGGGGAGGGGGGTGCCCACCGGGGGGGTGTGGGGGGGAAGGGGATGCACGGCTCTAGGGCAAGCTGGCGTTGGAGCTGCTGGCCGTGCTGTTGCGTTTCTGGAGACACTTCACCGCGCTGGGCACCTGCAAGCCCGAGGAGACGTGGAAGCTGCCGCACCAGACCTATGGGGACAAGAGCATGGATGGGCTGGGGGGGGCTGGCACGAGGATGGGGGGGTTGAACCCCACCACTGGCAGCCCCCGAGGAGGTGCCCGGCTCTGCCTGCCCCTTACCGTGAAGGCGGGCAGCACCGGCTGCGTGAACTTGGCCTTGAAGGTGTGGAGCAGCTGCTTGGTCCTGGCGTTGTAGAAGGACAAGAAACCTGTGGGCAGAGGGGGAGATATGGGGGGGGTCACAGATGGGCACAGAGCTTGCATGGTGGTGGCAATGCCCGTGGTGGACACACTGGTGCCCATGGTGGTGCCAGTGTCCACACTGGACATGCTGGTGCCCATGGTGGTGGCAATGCCCATGGTGGACATGGTGGCGCCCATGGTGGTGGCCATGCCCATGGTGGACATGGTGGTGCCAGTGCCCACACTGGACATGCTGGTGCCCATGGTGGTGGCAATGTCCATGATGGACACACTGGTGCCCATGGTGGTGGGGCCATGCCCACACTGGACATGCTGGTGCCCATGGTGGTGGCCATGCTCATGGTGGACACACTGGTGCCCATGGTGGTGGCCATGCCCATGGTGGACATGGTGGTGCCAGTGCCCACACTGCACATGCTGGTGCCCATGGTGGTGGCAATGCCCATGGTGGATACACTGGTGCCCATGGTGGTGCCAGTGCCCACACTGGACATGCTAGTGCCCATGGTGGTGGCCATGCTGCTGGTCTCCACAGTGGTGGTGGCACCCATGGCAGTGGTGGACCCTTTGCCCACCCCCAACACTGCCCCATCCCCCCCCCATCCCGCACCCTCCTTCATGGAAGTTGCAGT